TGGGGAGCCGTCAAACCTCGAACTTAAAACTTACACTCACTATTTTTTCTTCGAAAATATATGTGAGTTCCACAAAAGGAATAATCACTGGACAAGTCCAGAGAAAATATATATGTATATATGGAGAGGAAAGGAAAAGCCAACAATAAATAACTAGACAGTTAGCGGTAATAGAGTGACCTCTATTGACGCTAACAGGTATCCATAGGTCCTCAAGAGCTATCCTAATGGGTATCCATAGGTCCTCAAGGCCTATCCTATGGGGGTATCCATAGGTCCTGAAGGGCTATAATATGGGGGTACCCATAGGTCCTCAAAGCCTATCGTATGGAGGTGCTCATAAGTCATCAAGGGCTATCCTATGGGTACCCCCATATTATAGCCTTTGAGGACCTATGGATACTCCCATAGGATGGACTTTGAGGACCTACGGGTACCTCTATATTATAGCTCTTGAGGACCTATGGGGAGCCTCTATGGTAGGCCTTGACAACCTATGGATATCCCTATATTATAGCCTTTGAAGACCTATGGGAAACCCATAAGATAGCCCTTGAGGACCTATGGGTACCACCATAGGATACCCCTTAAGGACCTATGAGTACCCCCACAGGATGGGCCTTAAGGACCTGTGGGTACCTCCATAAAATAGGCCTTGAGTACATATGGATACTCCCTTAGGATAGGCCTTGAGGACCTATGAGTACCCCCATAGGATAGCCCTTGAGAATCTATGGGTACCTCCATAGGATAGCCCTTGAGAACCTATGGATACCCTCATAGGATAGCCCTTGAGGACCTACGGGTACTCCCACAGGATGAGCCTTAACCTGTTGAGTCTCGGCGACGTATATATACGTCCTAGTATTTGGCTTAGAAGACTAGCGACGTAAAAACACACTCAAATGCAGTTATTAAACAAAGATGTTACTAGCATATTCTTTGATTAATTGGAAAGGTATTTTAGCTACTATATCACGGACTACGGCCGTGATATCATGCTAGGAATCTATAATCGCTATACTCTTTATACATCGTTTTTCGCTGTTCTACATATGGGTAGTATAGGGTTACACGGTTTTTTCTTTCTTTATGTTTCTTTATATTTCTAATTTGTGATTTTATTGTTGGTATATTCCTCGTGTATTGGTCATTTCCTATAGGATTTTCCCTCTTAGCTTACCATCATTTTAGGATTTTGCAGGATGGGAAAATTCCTTATTTTTGTCACACTCTACAGAGTTCTCCCAATTCAAGTATGCATATGTTTGACTGTACGTGAAAAAAATGATATAATCTATACATCAACATATAGCGATATATGTGTTAAGGATTGCTTTAAAGATTATCATAAAAAAATGAACTATTAATATTTCTTTGACAGAGATGTGCAATATCTTTCAAAAATTAAATAAAAACCATATTTAAACATTTCTTATAAAACCAGAATTTTCACAAAAAAAGCCGGGACTCAAAGGGTTAAGGATCTGTAGGTAACCCCATAGGATAGGTCTTGAGGACTTATGGGTGCCCCCACAGGATGGGCCTTAAGGATCTGTGGGTACCCCCATAGGATTGGCCTTGGGGACCTATGGATACCCTCATAGGATAGGCCTTGAGGATCTATGGGTACCCCCATAGGATAGCCCTTGAGAACTTATGGATATCACCTTAGGTTAGCCCAAGGGGGAAACAGCGGACTTCAAGACTTCAAAAGACTTCAACAGACTTCAGCCGCAGTGACTTCATATTTTCACAAGACTTCAAAAGAGTTCTAAAGAGTTCTGAAGACTTCATAGGACTTCATATGACTTCACAAGGCTTCATAAGACTTCGTATGACTTCATGGGACTTCATGAGACTTCATTAGACTTCAAGAGACTTCATGAGACTTCATAAGACTTCAAGAAACTTCATTAGATTTCATGAGACTTCATGAGACTTTATAAGACATTATGAGACTTCAGAGACTTCAAGAGACTTTATGAGAATTCATGAGACTTCATAAGACTTTAAGAGACTTCATAAGACTTCGAAAGACTTTCAAGACTTCATGAGACTTCACGGCTGAAGTCTCTGCTGTTTCCCCCTTGGGTT